TTATTATTATTATTATTATTATTATTATTATTATTATTATTATTATTTATTAACCTTTATTTAACCAGGCAAATCCCATTGAGATCATAAATCTCTTTTCAAGGGCGGCCTGGGCCTGAAGACAGCCTAACATGCATGTTTTTTTTTATACTGAAATATATATATTTAATTCACTAAAAAGACATCAGAACCCCAGCTAGAATATTTTTACTCCTTGTGCTTTCTCAGAGTCCTTTTCCTCTGTTGTCCAATTATCACCATAATTGCCATTCACTGGCAGATTCACAGTAAAACACAAAAACACAAGGATATAAAAGCATCTGGCAGAGATTGTTTGGTTCACTGTAGGTCCTCATAGCCTTTGCAGAATGCAGATCTAGTCGTTCAACTGGTAACTGCTGCTGGATATGAAAGCATGGGAGAACAGAACCACTAACAGGTGCATAACGAGGTGAAAGACTTTTAACAAACATGGCACAAATTTTGTTACATTTTAAATTTACAAGTGTAATGAAATTGTTCAGCAGTAGAAAACCTGACAAACATGCTCTGATGATTCTATTAGTGCTGCAAATAAAAATATTTATTTAAGAGCAATAATTAACAAAACAAAGGTGATATTTTCTGTCATTAAATGCCATGAAACAGCAAGACAAGTCAATACTTTGAAAGTACTTCCAGTTCTAATTGTCCTAAAACTTTGAAACTGGTAGGAATGATCAAATTAGTCCACTTTGACACATCACACCCAACGTGGTGCCGGTTGTTATTTAAGGAGTTGGCAAACGGCACTAAAGAAACTCCAAAAACGAACAAAATTTTGCCTCCGAAAATTTGCTCTCAAGAGCCGTTTTAAACCCTAATGAGGCACTTCTGTCACCATTTGTTGGAGAAAATAAAGATGCAGAATGGTAACACACACATGCCCACACAAACCACAAATACACACAAGAAAACATTTGGTTTATTTTGGAAAGGGAGAAGAAACGGGAGATGAAACCTCATGCTCATTAGTCACAGATTTCTGTAAAAACAAGCCCAATATGAAGCCGTTTAAGTGGAGGGTGCTTTTTCACATGAAGAAAGTAAAGCCCTGCCCACACACCGAGACCCACTGGTCCGCGACCATAAATGTGAACATATTTACAGAGAACATTCATCGTCCCTCCCAAGAACTTTAATGGCCTTTCTACCCAAATTAGGCTTTAACAATCTCATCAGTGGTAAAAAGGTCCTATCACTACAAAACATTTCATCTCCTTCCCTCTTCCGAACATGTTTCCATTAGGAGGAACGCAAAGCTAATCATATTCATCTGCAAGCTTTCTTTAATGGGATCCTTTCAGATCATCTGATAGAGGTTTTTCTCGGCTAATGCTACAGTCAATTTGCCGCTCCCATTTAGTCAAGCTGGCCTGCCTCTGATGATACCATCTCTGAGTCAGTGTGGCACAGAAACAAAGCTGGGTTTGCACACATTAAAGGCAGAAAAAGTTGTACTAAGAAGCGTTAGGATGTACCAACGGTTGCACACATGTGGTGAGAGAGATTAGATGTAAATTCTTCCCATCTGAATCCAGGCACAGTTCCTGTCTGTGCAAGACGACGTGGAGTTAATGTCTTCCAAGGAAGAACAAAATGGACAAACATCAAAAAGAGGCTCACTGGAGGAGGAGGATGCTTTTTAAGTACCCTTTTTGACCAAACACAGAAGCATACGCATGTGTAAATCCCACATGCAAACACTCAGGTCAGGTGGGGAGGTCAGTTCTCGGTCAGGGTTCTCACACTCCGTCACACGAGCGCCAGGAGTCTGCATGTTATATTTCCAAAGTCTATTAGAGATAGATGGGGAATCACCGAGGGGGACAAAGTGCTGATGGGAAGATTTGCGTGATGAATGACCTGAACAAGAATGGTTTTGTCGTAAAGTTTTTCAAGGCAAAACTGATCAATAAATGTCAGAAATACGACAGAAACAATGATTAAAGACACGCAAACTGAATACAGGAACAAGAGTTTGATTCTGCCCGCCCAGCATCTACAGTGATCTGAAACTGAAAGGAATAAAACACACATTTACACCTGAAACACGCCTCACTCTGTGAAGCATTTTCTGTGTTTGTATTTGTGCTGGATGTAGTTTGTAATTATTATTTGTATTTTAGACATTTTCAATTCAAGAGAGGAACACAGACCATTGACTTTTCATTTACAGACTGACTCTCATGTCATTCTCTGCAGCTGTCTACTTTTTTCTCTCCTTTCATTGAATTCAAAATCTTACTTGTAACCTACAAAGCTCTCAACAACCTAGATCCATTTTATATTTGAGATCTTATTGTTCCATGTTTTCCTAACAGAGCACTTCACTCTCAGACTGCAGGCTTACTTGTAGTTCCTAGAGTTTCCAAAAGCAGAATGGGAGGAAGATCTTCCAGTTATCAGGCTCCTCTCTTGTGGAACCAACTTCCAGTTTCTGTCCATGAGGCTGACACATTGTCCAGTTTTAAGACTGGGCTGAAGACTTTCCTTTCTGATAAATCTTATATTTAGGGTTGGTTTGTTATGCTGCCATAGGCTTTGACTACTGGAGGGCAAATTGATCTCATTTCCTTAAATGAGTTGCTAAAATTGAATAGTTTTCATTTGATATTATGTATATCTTAACGTGATTCTTGACCTGCCATTGTGTATCTATTCCTCCTTCCTGTTCCTCTCAAACCCATCCGGTCAAAGCAGATGACCACTTGTCCTGAGCCTGGTTCTGCTAAAGGTGTCTTCCTCATGAGGGAGGTTTTCCTTTCCACTGTTGCCTTCATGCTTGCTCAAGATGAGAGTCTGTGATGGAGTTAAACACAAAGCAGTCTGCTCCTCAGATAAATAGTGTTAAATTATTTTTTATGTATATAAATGTTTCTGTTCAGTGCCCTGAGATGACTTCTGTTGTGACTTGGAGTTATATAAATAAATTGAACTGAATTCATTTTCCCCATAGTCGTCCTTTGCTTTAGCATCTCAGTCACTAACATCTAAACCAGGCGTGGGCATCAGTGTTATTTAAAGTCCAAATTGGCACTTGGAACACAACAGCCTACAATGTATTGTAGTTCCCATTTACTCACTTCATGCAGCAATAAAATTAACTGTGCTATTTGGACGTATTCTTTTAAGAGCATTCCAGATGGACAGAAAACTGCCAATTATGTGGCTTACAAATGACCACGCTAAACACCAACTGTGCCCCCACTGGTGTAGTCTTGTTTTGCTGGAAAAGTTTTGTGGCTTTTATCTATTCAACTCAACTTTGTTATTAGTTAATTGTTCACCAACCATCCTGCAAAATAAAAACTTAATTAGGAGAAAAAGGATCATTAAGCATTTTAGCACCATGGACAGCTCCTACTTAACGGCACCAGGA